AAATCTTCGAGTTCGTAGTTCTGCATCTCTTGAATCAAATTGTGTTTGTGTGACACCTCTAGATGGTCTTCTCTCAAAGGCGGTGAGCCCCTGTTGTAGTTGGACTTCCTTATAATGTTCATGGACATCCTTTGTGGATTTCTTATAAGTGGTATTGTGTAATTTACTCCAGATTATGTTTTCTACTATTATCTCCTTGATGGCATGGTTAGGGTTTAGGTTTAATAGGTGGAATACAGTGTAAAAGGTGATGTAGTAGAGTGGGAAAAAAAAATTTCGTGGCATGATTGAAAGAACAACAAAATGAAAGATTTTTATGTGTAGCTGGAGTCGGATATTGGTGGATGCTAGAAACCCTAGAATTGGACTAAGGTTAGCTAGCTATGATATCAAAAGATACCAGAGTTAACCCAAATAACAATTAGCTAACAAATATTATTACTGAAAAAGTCAATAGATATTTACAACCAACACACTTGAAAGGGAAAACACAACACGACACCTAGAAATCTGAAATAGCAATAGACACGACACAAAAAACTCAAGCTATGATGGATCCGAGGGTGGTCGTGGTGATCAGCAAGGGTTTGGTCCTCCTGAGAGGTGCAACGGGCGAAGGAAGAGCTGGAAGGTGTGGCAACAGCAAAGGTGTGTGGGTAACTATGAGGGGGAGGTTTGAAGCTGCAGGAATAGCAAGTGCAGTTGTTGTCCTAGGCGGGAGCAGCAAGAGGATGTTGGACAGTGAGGACGTGCCTGGGATAGGATATTATAGCTTTCGCAACAAGGGAGGAGGATGGCAGCAAATAAGGTGAGAAGTTGCGGCAATGGCAGCAAGCTAAAATGAGAGAAACTAATGACTGGGTAGCTGTAACTGCGGGTGAACAGCAAATAGGCATTGTTTTGGGTGGCGGCAGTGAGAGGGAATGTCGCCGGCAGTGGCGAGGGAAGCAAGGGCCTGCAGGACAACAAGAGAACGTTGTTCGGGGTGGTGTCAACGAGGATAGGTGATTGGAATTGGAAAAATTGCAATAAAACAACCAACGGTGGCTATTTAGTGGTCATTGCAGCAAAGGAGGGCGACCGAGAGCAACGTGGGAAGGATATAAGAGTGAATAGAGAAGACAATCACCACATTGGGAGAGAAATACAATTGAAGTACCACTCAAACCCTCGAATACGGCCCTCGAGGAAAGAAAACGGACATCGGCGGCTGTCCTGAATAAGCTCATGTCAAAAATTGCAATCCAAATCATGATAGCACACATATAAAAGAAATAATTAAAAAGGAGGACACGCAGGAAACTATTTAAAAGGAGGACAAGTAGGAAACTTGCTAAAAATTGAAAAGAAACTGAACAATTGTCATTCAGTTCAGCTCTGCACCTCTTATGCAACCCGAGAGCAGCATCGAGTCCAACAACAGGAGATGCCCGTGTCAATCTCTTGCCATATTTTTAGGTTTAAATTCTCTATGTATTTTCAGGCTCGTCCCGATTTGAGAAAACTTGAATTTTGATAATGAGACTTTGTTTGATGCACATACTGATCTTCCAAACTATTTGTTGAAAGATCCCTCCTCATTTATTCAAGTTTTTTCCCAAAACATAATGCCAAGGTTAGATTATTTCCTGAAGTAGTAGTTGATGTTCATAGCTTCACCAACCCGAAGTGACTACTTCATTAATTGCTAATATTATCACAAAAAAATTCTACAACTTCTTGAAATGCCTCGACATCTTCCCACCGATAAAAAAATGATGCTTATTTATCACAACAAATTTTTTATTCTAATTGGAGCATTCAGAGACCAACTTTTTAATAGATAAAATATTTCATATCCTTTATATTAAGGGAGTGGGAATAAAAAAAAAAATTATCGACACTCACATAGTTTTACTAAGCCTAAGTTAGACGACCCAAAAGAAATCTTTACCATTTTTTTTTATTTTTGCTCTTGTTTCTTGGTAAATGCCCTTCATGTACTCTTATTATTATTTGGTTAATATAATTTAATTCAAAAAAATTAAGTACTTTCTCACAGTCAGATTATTTTTGTCCCCTTGCTAGCCAGAAGTTCAACTGTGCTAGCCAAGGAGAGAATTGGGTCTCTTGGGTCACAAACCCTATCCCCAGACACTTTGACTTCCATTTGCCTTTCCCAACCAACTTACTCACCTAACTAAACAGCGATTTTTTATCCGAACAATATTCTCTACTTCTCCCTATTACCCCTAATCCGCCAAAGGAATAAAGACCGAATATGTATGGATTTAGAGGATTGGCCTACTGCCCTGCCCTTGGAGGAAGATAAAGCAATTGTTTGGCCTTTAAGTTTTCTTTACTCCATTTAGTACTCCTTTGATTTCCGCTCTTTTTTTTCAACTCAATGCTGGAATATCACCTTAAATAGAGTTTCTAGCATGAAAAGCAATGTTGATAGATGTTATGCTTCATATCATGCATAGGCAATCGATTTGTGCAATCCATTTACCAATAAAGTGGAAAAAAATTTGTCATCATTTTAAAAGCTTAATTGGTCTACCCAAACAAACAAAATGCCAAACTCATAAATATACCGTGCTTCATAACCCTAAGAAAAAAAGGGTAATGGAAAAAATTAGGGAACCCCAGTTTAATCAAAAATCCCAAAGAAAACCTTTTATTTATTTTGAAGAAGTGTCGATATCATCAAGTTGTTCAGTTAGCCTCATTTCTACATGAAAACAAGATATGACTAGTAATTTCTTTTTTTATTCAAGAAACTGAACTTGGGCACCGAGACAAAATTTAAGAAAATGATTTTCTAATCTCATCATGCCTCTTTTGCATAATTTAAACCACCATACTCATCTTGATAATCATTGCATATCATCCATCATCTCTTTTCAAGGAGTTGGGCACAATAAAAAAAAGAAACAAAAAGATCACTTGCAACAAAAAAACCTCTCATTAGATGGGTACATAGCTGAGTTCGAGCAGCTTATATTGAAGTGTGGGCTAATGGAGCCCAAGGAGAATACTAAAACTCGATATCTAAGGGGATTAAGATCGTCCGTTAGCAATGAGGTACAGTTGCAGCCTTGTTAAACATTAAAAGATGTCCAAACCCTAGAATTAAATGTAGAGAACAATATAGCAACATCAGATCCACATCACCCTTCAAACTGAGTTCAACCATCAAATCAAACAACAAGAGGACACCCAATGGAGCACCCAAGCCAACCCAGACAGTGAGGAACCCATGCAGAGTGAAGTAAAAGTGGAGACTGGCAGTACTCCAAATCCATTTATGCCAGTAAACGCTTCGAATGTCACAGTTTTGGTCACGTAGCGTCTGATTAACCAAATATAACAGTGGTCTCTCTCACTGAGCAGGGAACAGTTGAAAGTAACAGACAGTGAAACATGAGAGTATAAAGATGTCAGAGAGGACTCTAAATCTTTAGTTGATGAGGGAGAGATGTTAGTGATTCAAGTTGAGCCCAATTGAGAGATCACAATAGAAATAATATTGATTTTCCTAGAAGATATAAGTTTGATGAGTCAATACATGAATCGCATGACTGACAGTTTATCTCTCGAGTAATTACCATTGAGTGCAGTTCAATATGCCATATATTTCATTTTAAAGTTAGTGATGTTGCCTCAACGTAGCAAGGCAATGGCTTTGTTATGACAGTGGTAAATGATTCCAAAAACTTTCTGGAAAGAAGACAAAGCTCCACATAACCAGGGAGAATGACGTGGGACATGATTACCTCCCAGGAATTCGGGAGGGTTCTACAGCTGTGGAACCATGAACTGTACGATCACAATATGGGGTCAAGCGCGAGTCCCGCCCCGTGAAAGTTGGTTTACAGGATTCTCTACCCCGTTATCAAAATTTTTTTTCCCTTTCTATACTTATTTCCTACTTTTTTTTTTAATTAGGTTTAATTCTACAAAGAAGACTATTTATATGTTTTTTTTTTCTTTATTCGGGACTTTTGCTTTGTTTGAGTATGATAAAGATTGTAATCTCCGATTTCGAGCTTTAGAAGTGTTGATCTTCTTTCTTTTGCAAGTGGTAAGTCTGCATCTTGCCCGGAAATAAGTGATGGATCCTCCTTGCCGCCCGTACTTCATTGTTTCCCTGTTCAACCAATGTTTTCAATGAACAGTAGCCAAAAGACCCGAATTTGATGTCCAATAGCAGATTTTGTCGCCTATCTCCTACCAAACGCCGTTGACTGCCCCTATTCACTTTCTCATACCCTTCCATAACTACCACCTTCCCCCAACCCCCAGGTCTAAATACCTTATAGGAACCTGGAACAGCATCACAAATCTTATAATATTACGAGCTTCATTGAATTATCGTTGTTGGTTTAAAACATATGACATTAGTAAGACTCATAACTACATCTAAAAACGTCAAAAAAACCCCTCGATAATAGCTCAAACTTTGATTGAATCAAAATTGACATCAGTGCATCTTGACTCGAGGATGGCTCGCTGAAAAAAAAAGAAACATACAATTCAAAATCTACTGAATATATAATGCATATATGTGTATGTGTGCTAACAACTATACACATATACAATTACAAAACACAAAGAACATGTGAGTATGTATACATATGTGTGTGTGCATATGTGTGTGTGGGAATGTAATATATATATATATATGTGTGTATGGGCGCATGCATTTACATTTGATATATTTCATAAGATACCTTTATAAGCAAATGGAGTACTTTAATAAATAATAATCTTGATTAGGTGATGTTTTATAAAATTAAATAAACTCTAAATGAATCAACTCAAAACTCAACTTAAAATTTGACTTAAGTTGAAATCTTAATCTCCAAGTTTAATTTTAGGCAAGTTCACTTGAAATCAAACTAATAGCATCCCAAGTTGTCAATCATGCAACATAGTATCTTTAAAAATCGATCTACACTGGAGAAAAACAATGAATTATATGCAATATCAACATATCCAATATGCCCAATTACTACCTTGTGTGCAGGGAGAACAACACCCTTATTAGGCTGAAACTCAAGAAGGGTCTTCCCCATTAATCCCGTCTGCAAAAACAATGTTAACAATAACAAGTCAAATGAAATAAAAAGAACAGATTATTGAGTTGGAAAACCTTGCCCAAGCATATCATGGAGTTCCTGACCTGAGCATCTGTACATTTAAGATTAAAAATTGTGGAGCCTCTTTTCTGAGAAGCAGACGAACTCCTTGTTGACGACAAACCAAGAGATGCTGATATTTCAGCCTCCTAGAATTAATGATTGGGATGTCAAGCAGTTATGTGGTAGCTTTATACAATCAAAAATATATTTAAAGCTCAATCTTTACATACCAACAGAGACTAGCCTATTAGAAAAGAAAATTAACATTGAATTTATTTCAAATCTCCTGTAATTGCAAGAAAATCATTTTTGCAGTAAAATTTTGCAAAGTACAGCTACACCAAGTAAACCGCATGCATCTCACAAACAACAACTATTGATAGGTGCTACAGTTCTAGCGTTGTTGAGTGCAAAGTGGATCTTAGCTTCAACCTTCCCATCCTATAGACATGGTCATGTAATTTTAATGGCAATGTTTAATGTTATGCGTGTACAAATCAACAAAAAACAACTACTTTAAACTTTGGCATCTTTAAACTTATGTCTAAAGTGGACAATTGTCGTCATATTAAGGAGCAGTTGGGCTAAAGTAGAATTTAATTCAAGTAGGATTTAGTAAAGCTTGCCAATCCAAAATTATATAAAATCTCAAAAGAGTTGAATTATGAAATTCATATAGCATAATAGATGTCAAATCTATTTAAAACCTAACAAATATTTTCAAATTTTAGTACTTAGATGAAAAGGAAGAAAAGGCATAATAAGGACAAGTGCAAATCTCCTAAATCCTTTTTCTCCAAAAATTTAATAGATCTGGGATGTGCCATCAAATGGGGGGAGAACAGAATTTAAGAAGACAGTAAGGTTTATGTGGCACAAAAATTCTTTTGGAAAGATTTAGCTAATTTCTAGATAAATCTCAACTAAGGGGTATTTGTCTAAAATAAGTTTAAACTCAAATATAATTTAGTAAATCCTATAAATCCAAGTTTCGTGCATCCTAAAAAGATTAAGAACTGAAAACTTGTTGGCGTGACAAATATTAAATCTTGCTAAATGTTTTTAAATTGTTTGGACATATTTTTTCTAGATGTAAGATTTTTGAGAGGATAAAATTCATTAAATCCTATAAATGATAAAATTTAACAAACCTTGAATATAGCCAATAGCGAAACTAAAATTGGATTTATCAAAATAATAAGATTTAAAGTCCCAAAATTTAGTTTGACAATATTTAAGCAAGATATAAAATAGGAAATAAAAGAGACCCTAAGGGGTAGTTTGGCTATAAGTAGAATTTAATTCCAATAGGATTTAGTAAATCACGGAAATACAAATTTAATAAATATTGATAAGTTTAAAACTTGAAAAAAATTTTGGCACCAAATCAAGATATATGTTTGGCTATTTTTTCAAAATTTAAAATTTATAAAAGAAAAAAAAGAAATCCTCAAATCTATTAAATCTAGCGATGGTCAGATTCAAAAAATCCTAAATTCAACTAAAAATAGGGCTGAAATAAGATTTATCGAAATAGTAGGATTTTAAACTCCCCAATGTTCTGTTTGGCAGGATTTACGCAACAGTTGCTTGAATACTGCCTAAAACAGGATAATAAACAGCCCCAAATTTTTAACCGCCTATTTAAAATCAGCAACATAAATCCACTGCTTGAAAAATGTACAAATGTCTTCCATACACACACCAAGCACTAACTACTACAACGCAAGAATATACGTCCAATTATATGAACAGGGATCCATAAATTTTGCATGAATTAGTTTCAACGCAAAAATTTTCAGACACCACAGATGTTATAAATGCAAGGGTTAAGCTGTCAGCATTTCAGCAAACCAGATCATTGCTGCATTGTATTACTGATAAAGAGAAGGGAATGAAAAAATATTACTACTTAAGTACGTTTTTCCCTGGTCGTCAACGTACACTAACAAAATTCTCTTCGCGAAATGACCTCTAACTTTTCCAATAGGTCGAACTAGCCTTGTCATTTCTAAAACTAGTTTGATGGACAACAAGATTATGCCTCAATACAGACGAATCGCATCGCACGGGATGAGGTCGCCAGCAACCCAACCTAGAACTCATTTCCTTTCAGCATTAACAAATTAACAGAATATATGAAATTATGAGACCTCGATGGAATACAAAAGCAAATACAGATGGAACAATGATAGAAAAAAGTAAAAGAAATAACGAAGAAACAAACCTTCTCCATATCGATCAAAGGGAGCATGGTGGAGATGAATTGCTCCACTGTAATTTTTGAAGATTTTTTGCTCGACATCTTCTGCCCTTCCATGGGCCGCGAACGAACTTCGGTAGGTAGACAGCGTACTGCAGTGAGGGAAAAGTGGCAACCCAATGTTCGGGCGCAGGAAAAAAGAGCGGTCGGATATCCCGCGGATATTAAAATTATTTCATTTATTTTAAGATGAATATGATAAAATAACAATGAACTAATTATATATTGAATTGGTTGAATTTAGAAATTTTAAAATAGGTTCAATATTCTTTAATGAGGACATTCTTACCTGATATTTCTTTCTAAACTTGCATATTTTAACCTTTAAAATTATAATATAAATAATTATGCAATGTTATTGTATTTATAACAATCTTTATTTACTTTTCTCATTTGATCTCTTAGAATTATTTTTTGAGGTAAATCACATAGGTTGTTATGAAATACATTTAACTATATTGTCCATAAAATATTTGCTTGAACATTTGCTCGAGACTTAGAACACATATATTTGAGTAGCCCTATCTTGATAATGTGACTTGCTAGTTAGGGTAAAGAGCCCATAGAGTGATGATTCAATTTGAGGTTGTTGATTGCAATGTAATAAAATTCTTCTTCTATGTTAGGCTATCTCTCAATCATACTTGAAAGAAAATATGATAAATAACTAATGGATATTCATGTGTGGTTGAGCATGGTGTGTCGACATGTAAATATATGAATAAGTATATTGTGTGCAAGTGATTATTATAAATCATCATAGAATAATTAACAATTTTATTATTATTGGCAAAAAAATATTATTATAACTTGATGTTATGATAATATTTTTTATATGAATGTAGCATTATAAATCATGTATGTTTTATATATTATGTTACACATCAAATTTTTTTGTTATTTATGGTTTAATAAATAAGGGTGATTTTTTAGCTTGATTAACAAACTATTTTTCTTGTTTATCTTTCTCTCAGTATCTTGGATTAAAAATTGTGGGTTCAGAAGGAGCTAGTTGAGAATTTTGCACCTTGTGAGTAAACTCTCATCGATGTACCTATTTCCGCTCCTATCCCTATTTCTATGGAAGACATTATAGTAGAGTTCAATATCGATAGTATTCATATGCTGATTTCATCTTAGGTGGCCCCTAATGATGACATGGACAAGAATCACAAGACCAATTTTTTTTAACTCTAGTGACCTCCCTGAAGGTTACTTTGATGATTTAGAGGAGGATGATCTACTCAGGAAAGAGCTTGTCGCTAACACTACTCCCCTCGATGAGGATTTGTTGGTAGATCACATTAGAATTGTCAATAAAAAATGTAGACCTAACTCAGATGATTCCCCTTTAGGTTCAAATCCAATTGACCCTCTTGAGTCCTCTGGAGCCCAAGAACTTGTTGCAATCGGCCTTATAGAAGGCAGTCTTGATAAACTCCTTACACGTTTCTAGGAGCATATATCACAAAGGATGGCGAGTATAGCCCCCCTTCTCTTTTCAGATCATTACACTACAGAATAAGCAGGTTGAGTCTTTATTAGCCTCACTCTGTACTCTTGATCATACTCAGAGGAGTACAATTCAGTTCCTTATCCTAAGGGTTTTGTTCTCTCACATTTCAAGCAATTCAAAAGGGATGGAAACCCTTGACAGCATGTTGCGTAATACAAAGCACTATGTTGTAATATTGGCAAGAGTGATGCCTTATTGTTGCTTCTTTATTTAACTAGTCTAACCGATTTCACTTTTGAGTGATATGTTGAATCAAATGGCACATATAAGACTTTTGTTGAGTTAGAAGATGCTTTCTTCAGAAGATCTACTAGCATGCAACACCAGGTCACCATGAGTGATCAAATGACTGCCTAACTGAAGGCATACAATTCCACATTTGACTTTATTACGCATTGTCAAAATTTTATTATGTACTGTGAGCCTTCATTCTAGAAGTAACATGCAATCTCTTTTCTTCTTAACAAGTTGAGAGGACCCATTGCTACATTTCTGAAACTGTATTCTATTAAAACCATTGAAAAGTTATTTTAAAGGTATCCAGTTTGCATAACACCCTAAGATCCTCGGTTTTCAAGGATGAGTTTAATAACAGCAAAGGGAGGAAAATTTCTCATGACACTGGTCCCTCTCGAAGGATAAGTGAGAGCCTAGCTTTAGCCTTGTGAGACAGCAAAAATGTCGTTGTAGTTGAACCAACCCACTCATCTCTTTTGATAAAGCAAACTATTCCTCCCTCAAGAGAGAGAAAGTGTTGTGACTAATTTTTTTGAAATAATTGTGTATGTAAGATCTTTATTAACTTTCTAAAGAAAAGGATGAAGTTACCTGCATCTACGAGACCGGAGGAAGTGGATAATACCTTAGCAACTAATTACTCTCTAAATCACTGGCACTTGTGGCATACTTTAGAGGAGTGTTTTCCTTTCAATAATTAGTTGGTTGTCTAGTACAAAGCTAGAGAGATCAAGATCCTTGAGTTCTTCTTGGAGAAGACCATGGGCCATACATCAATCAACTTAAACTCATACGCTTTGATGGAGATCTCGGTAGCTATTGATGAACCCTAACAGTTTGTAGATGGTGTATTATCAGATATTAGGCATGCATATGTACTATATGGTGATGTCCTTAATGACGATCATGTACTTTATAATTATTCTAGTAGAATGAAAGCTTTCTTTGTTGTTTATTTTTTATGCTTTCATATTTATGATTCTAATAGTTCAGATCATGAAGAGGATTTATTTTCTCTTATGCAACCTTAGATATAACTTTCTTTTGTTAAAATGAAGGCTCCTCATCTCAACCTGAGTTTCAGTTTGTAGACCAAGCTAGTGATTTTCTCAACTAGTTTGATTTCTCTAGGTCCCTTGTTGAGGATATCTAGTAGGTCAGATTTAGAAGTGGCGGGATGCTCTCGCATAGACTAAGGAAGTCGTCCATTTAGGATAAAGGAAAATATATAATGACTCAATATATCTAGAACACCCCTATGCCTTGAGGTCAAGATGTGAGCCATAATATCCAGTTTGGCAATATGGACTATAAAGTTTTGACATACCTTAAGAAGCTTCTAGCCATATTGTGTGTACATGATACACTAATGATATCTTATGAGCTTTAAGAGACTTCGATTAACGCCCATTTAGATATTGAAGTTTTTTAAATCTTTTTACTAATGAGAATTAGTATTTCTTTCATTGATGAAGACCTTTTGTTTGGTACTAGTGAGCATAAGCGTCCATTATCTGTGACGGGCTCAGCATATGACATTCCATTGAACTGTATAATGGTCCCAATGTGTTAGTAAACATTATCAATGTCTACACCCTGAGTTATTACCCCTTGACTCAAGGTGATTATCCTCTAAAAAGTTGAAGCTAACTAACATCAACAAGAAAATTTAGGTCACCAATGGATCCATAGTTCTTGCTCTTCATTTTGGGGAGTTGAAGACGAATGTTAAATTTCACCTGATTGACTTTGAGACCTCTTTAAAGGATCTGTTGGGTTGCCCATAGATTTTCTTGCCTATGAGATGGTGCCTTCAACCATCCATCAATTTATTAACTATAAATGTGCATGAGAAGTATTATTCATCCCCGATGATCCCAACTATTATTAATTAACAAGATAATATATTATAAAAACGCTCAATGTTATGTTATTGATCAATCATGATTGGGGGCTCCAATGCATATGCCTTATCCATCTTCGATCCACCCATCTCTTCTTTTTAAGAGATAATATAGAAGTTCGGGCCGTAAAGGAGCTCTAAGCATTTTTCCCATCTCATAATAAGTGAGATCCGCCTATTAGGAGAGGGTTGTCTACTATTCCCGTAGTGAATATTATTATCAAGAGTGATGATAGTGTGATTTTGAGCCATAAGCTGATATGAAAGTGGATCAACTCTCGAAATTATAATCAGTTCCAATTTTAGAAGATTTAGATGAGGAGATACTCCTCGATATAGTTTTGTTGCCATGGATATCGAAACAAGTGATTCCATGCATGTATTTGTTGACATTGTTGGATGAGGTATTGATGATTCATTTGATGCTTTAGTAACATCACAAAGAATCAGTCATAAAGAGCACACAACTTAAAGGATAAATCTAAAATGTGGTTGAATTCATTGGTACTTGGATCCATCAAGACTTGGGGTGACTTAGCTCAGAAATTCCTAGTTAAGTATTTTCCACCATAAAAAATTGCTAAACTTATAAATGATATTTTATCCATGTTTCCTAGTGAACTACATCCTCTATCTCTCTTCCACTTTTTATTCAGGTTTCTATAAGTATTTTGTCCAACTGAGGTTGAGAGAGAGACCGGGGAAACTTAATAATATGAATAAAATGCTTTTAAGGAAAAACCAACCTCTTAAACTAGGATTAACTTAGAAAACCACCACATTCATTTCCTCAGAGACTTAGACAGCAGAAGATGGATCAACAATTTTCAAAATTTATAGAAACTCTAATAAGTTAACTATTAATATTTCTTTTGCTGAAGCTCTGGAGCAAATGCCTAGCTATGTAAAGTTTATGAAGGATATCCTTAATAAGAAAAAAAAAAGTTTAGAGATTATGAGACAGTTGCACTTAGTGAGGAGTGCAATGCTATAATCAGAAAAAAAACTTCTTCAAAAACTTAAAGATCCTATGAGATTTACTATTCATTGCTCCTTATGAGAGAGATTTCCTAGAAAATATTTATGTGATTTAGGAGCAAACATTAACCTCATGTCGTTATCTATTTTCAGAAGATTATGTTTATGAGAGAGTTGTCGACACTATTTTTGGTGTGGGGTTTGCCCGTAAGAAGCTATCGGTCATCGGAATTGAAATCTCGTTGCCCGCTTCGGAAGGACGTTTTAAAAATTTTAATTTTGAAAAAGATGAAGTCAAACTGACCCCATAATTTTCATAGTTTAGATGAAAGAGCGTTTTACCTCAAATCCTGTATCTATCTTGAAGGATGAACACAAGAATTGAGGGTGAGGCTCGATCAAATAAACTATAGAAAGTTATGACATCCGTTTGGTCTGCGAAACCAATGTATTGGCCGACAAATTTTCCTATTTAATATAA